TGTGGACCTTATCTTTGCCTTGGGACTGGCCCAAATGAGAACCACTTGGGTCTGTGGGGAGGGAAATATGTGGATGACAGCCAGGGGCTTCTGGTGAGCTCCTGCTGGTCAGGGGTCCTAACACGGCTACTACCCAAGGAACCCGTAAAAGCATCCCCCTGCATGGGCCTTATATTTCAGGAAATTTCTTCTGTCAATCTACTTTAAAAAAAAAAATTAACGATTTTGCTTACTTTAGAAATTAATCAGAGCCATCTGGTGCTGCTCTAACAGAAATACCACAAGTGGATGGCTTTACAAAGAGAAATTTATTCTCTCACAGTCCAGTAGGCTACAAGTCCAAATACAGGGCATCAGCTCCAGGGGAACGCTTTCTCCATCGGCTCTGGAGGAAAGTCCATGTCATCAGTCTTCCTTTGGTCTGGGAGCTTCTCTGCACAGGAACCTCAGGTCCAAAGGATGCGCTCTGCTCCCAGCACTGCTTTCTTGGTGATATGAGGTTCCCATGTGTCTCAGCTTGCTTTGCTCTTTTATATCTCAAAAGAGATTGCTTTAAGACACTAATCTTGTCAACCTCATCAGTATAACCTCATCATAGTGATAGAATTTATAACACATGAGGAGATCACATATAATCTCATCATAGTGGTAGAGTTTACAACACGTAAGGAAATCACATCAGATAACACAATCATACAATACTGGGAATCATGACCTAGCCAAGTTGCTACCCACATTTTTTGGGGGACACAATTCAATCCATGACACCATCTAAAATCTCCACTGGGAGCCCCTAATCAGCAGATGTCTAAGGTTATCGCCTGCACTGATCTCTTGTCAAGCAGGACAAAAATTAAAAAGTACTTAGAGTTTTAGCTACAGGGTGGCCTTATCTAAGTAATTGTACAATTTCTCTTAGGTTTTTAAAAAATAGCTGTGGCCCCTTCTTTCCCCCAGGCCCCTTGGGCTGGGAACCTCCACCCATGACTATTCTAAAATATTTTTACAGTGTATGCTGCTAACTGAAAGGTAGCCACTCCATGGGAGAAAAAAGTGGCAGCCTGTTTCAGTAAAGACTGTTGTTGTTAGATGCCCTTGAGTCGGTTCCAGCTCATAGCAACCCTATGTACAACAGAACGAAACACTGCCTGGTCCTGTGCCATCCTCACAATTGTTATGCTTGAGCCCATTGTTGCATCCACTGTGTCAATGCATCTTGTTGAAAGCCTTCCTCTTTTTTGCTGACGTTTTACTTTACCAAGCATGATGTCCTTCTCCAGGAACTTGTTCCTGCTGATAACATGTCCAAAGTACATGAGAAGAAGTCTTGCCATCCTGCTTCTAAGGAGAATTCTGACTGTACTTCTTCCAAGATTTGTTGGTTCTTCTGGCAGTCCATGGTATATTCAATATTCTTCACCAAACACTATAATTCAAGGGCATCAATTCTTCTTTGGTATTCCTTATTCATTGTCCAGCTTTTGAATAAGTATGTGGCAATTGAAAACACCATGGCTTGGGTCAGGCCCACCTTAGTTCTTAAAGTGACATCTTTGCTTTTTAAGACTTTAAAGAAGTCTTTTGCAGCAGATTTGCCTGATGCAATACATCATTTGATTTCTTAACTGTTGCTTCCATGGGCGTTGATTGTGGATCCCAGTAAAATGAAATCCTTGACAACTTCAATATTTTCTTCATTTATCATGATGTTGCTTATTGGTCCAGTTGTGAGGATTTTTGTTTTCTTTATGTTGAGATGTAACCCACACTGAAGGCTATAGTCTTGATTTTCATCAGTAAGTACTTCAAGTCCTTTTCACTTTCAGCAAGCAAGTTTGTGTCATCTGCATATCACAGGTTGTTAATGAGTCTTCCTCCAATCTTGATGCCAATTCTTTTTAATATAGTCCAGCTTCTTGGATTATTTGCTCAGTATACAGATTCAATAAGTATGGTGAAAGGATACAACCCTGACACACACCTTTCCTGACTTTAAACCTGCAGTATCCCCTTGTTCTGTTTGAATGACTGCCTGCCTCTTGGTCTATGTACAGGTTCCACATGAGCACAATTAAGCATTCTGGAACTCCTATTCTTTGCAATGTTGTCTGTAATTTGTTATGATCCACACGGTCAAATGCCTTTGCATAGTCAATAAAACTCAGGTAAACATCTTTTTGATATTCTCTGCTTTCAGCCAGGATCCATCTGACATCAGCAATGATATTCCTCATTGCACATCCTCCTCTGAATCTGGCTTGAATTTCTGCCAGTTCCCTGTTAATGTACTGCTGCAACTGTTTTAAAATTATCTTCAGCAAAATTTCACTTGCAGATGATATTAATGATATTATTCGATAATTTCCACATTCTGTTGAATCACCTTTCTTTGGAATGGGCACAAATATGAATCTCTTCTAGTCAGTTGGCCAGGTAGCTGTCTTCCAATTTTGTTGGCATCCATTTGTTGAAACATTTCGATTGATATTCTGTCAATTCCTGGAGCCTTGTTTTTTGCCAATGCCTTTAGTGCAGCTTGGATTTCTTCCTTCAATACCATTGGTTCCTGATCATATGCTACTTCCTGAAATGGCTAAACGTCAACCAATTCTTTTTGGTACAGTGACTCTGTGTATTCCTTCCATCTTGTTTTGATGCTTCCTGTGTCGTTCAGTGTTTTGCCCATAGAATCCTTCAAGATTGCAAGCCAAGGCTTAAATTTTCTCTTCAGTTCTTTCAGCTTGAGAAATGTGAAATGTGCTCTTTCCTTTTGGTTTTCTAACTCCATTTCATTATAATATTTTACTTTGCCTCCTTGAGCCGCTCTTTGAATTCTTCTTTTCAACTCTTTACTTCATCATTTCTTCCATCTGCTTTAGCTGCTATGCATTCAAGAGTAAATTTCAGAATCTCTTCTGACATCCATTTTGATCTTTTCTTTCTTTCCTGTCTTTTTAATGACCTTTTGCTTTCTTCATGTATGATGTCCTTCATGTCATTCCACATCTCATCTGATCTTTGGTTATTAATGTTTAATACATCAATCCTATTCTTGTGATGGTCTCTAATTTTCAGGTGGGATATACTCAAGGTTGTACTTTGGCTCTCGTGGGCTTGTTTTAATTTTCTTCAGCTTTAACTTGAACTTGCATATGAGCAATTGATGGTCTGTTCCAAAGTCAGCTCTTGGCCTTGTTCTGACTGATGAGCTTGAGCTTTTCCATCGACTCCTTCCACAGATGTAGTCAATTTATTCCTGTATATTCATCTGGTGAGGTCCATGTGTATAGTCACTGTTTATGTCATTGAAAAAGAAATTTGTAATGAAGTAATTGTTGGTCTTGAAAAATTCTTTCCTGTGATCTCCCTCGTAGTTTCTATCACCAAGGCCATATTTTCCAACTACTGATCCTTCTTTGTTTCCAACTTTTGCATTCCAATCACCAGTAATTATCAATGCATCTTGATTGCATGTTTGATCAATTTCAGATTGTAAAAGTTGTTAAAAATCTTCAATTTTTTCATCTTTGGCATTAGTGGTTGGTTTGTAAATTTGAATAATAGCCATATTAACTGGGCTTCTTTGTAGGCGTATGGATATTATCCTATTACCAACAGTATTGTACTTCAAGATAGATTTTGAAATGTTCTTTTTGACAATGAATGTGACACCATTCCTCTTCAATTTGTCATTCCCGGCATAGGAGACCATATGATTGTCCGATTCAAAATGGCCCAATACCAGTCCATTTCAGCTCACCGATGCCTAGGATATCTATCTTCAAGCATTCTATTTTATTTTTGACAACTTTTAATTTTCCTCGATTCATATTTTGTGCATTCCATGTTCCAATTATTAATGGATGTTTGCAGCTGTTTCTTCTCATTTTGAGTCATGGCACATCAGCAAATGAAGGCCCTGAGAGCTTTAATCCATCCATATCATTTAGGTTAACTCTACTTTGAGGAGGCAGCTCTTCTCCAATCATATTTTGAGTGCCTTCCAACCTGAGGGGCTCATCTTCTAGCACTGTATCAGACGATGTTCCACTTCTATTCATAAGGTTTTCACTGGCTAATTTTTTAAGAAGTAGATTGCCAAGTCCTTCTTCCTAGTCTGTCTTAGTCTGGAAGCTCTGCTGAAATCTATCCACCATGAGTGACCCTGCTGGTATTTGAAATACTGGTGGCATAGCTGCCAACATCACAGCAACACACAAGCCACCACTGTACGACAAACTGACAGACTAATGGTGGCCGTAAAGATTACAGCCTAGAAAACCCTTCAGGAAAGCTCTACTCTGTCCTATAGGTTCTCTATGAGTTAGAATTAACTCGATGGCAACATGTTGGGACTTGCTTATATACCTCCATGGATAGTGAAATGCAGTCTCTAGAGTCAGTCCAACATGGGTTGAATTCCTAATCAGCCACCTGGACATGTTGGTTCACCTCTTTGAGCATCACTCTCCTCGCCTGTAGAATGATGAGAATGACTTCCACCCAGCAGGGCTGTGTTACGTATTAAGTTGAGTAGTAAGTGTGCAGTTCTTAGCACAGTGCATGACTCAGAGTAACTGCTTAAACGTTACTGTTAATAATTGATATTATTGCTATCCATGAAGTCTCACTGTCCACATGGTTCATGAGACATGGAGCAGGACCTGCCTCGTGGTTTTTATCGCACGGGATTCCTAGCCCTCTGTGCTGCATGGAAGAGTGAAAGTAGAAAATACTGGGCCAGGTGGCAGCTAGCCAGCATCCTTCCCAATGAAAACCTTGCTCCAGGCTTCCTTGTTGGAATTCTCTGGACCTTGGAGTTGGCTGAGCTGACAACCAGCAAGCCCATGGGCCATGGAGGGGCCGTGGGTGTCGGCAGATCTTTAGGAGAGTCGGGAAGAGGAGGAGTTGGAGAAAGGTGAACTGCAGGCTTCCGGACCCAGCCTGCTGTCTGGAAGACAGCCTTTCTGGGATGAGTGTTCTGGAAAACAGGACGAAGGATGAGCCCGCTAGGGGACCCAGCCCAGCCAGACCCTGAGGGCTGCAGAAGGTGAATTGCTCATTTATCTGGCTTTCCATGCCAGGGACAAGGGAAAGCCATGGGATTCTTTGCCTTTGTGGGCGCTACAAAGGATAACTGTGTTGACCTTGGGCAGAAGTTGGGAGACCTGTGCTTTGCTTCTGCCTCGTTACCAGAAAGCTGCGCAATCTTGGCCAAGTCACCAGCCCACTCTGGGCCTCAGTTTTTCTCATCTGTAAAATAAGAAATTGACCAAGTCTAACAGCAATCCCTATGGGAGCCCTGGTGGTGCAATGGTTAAGCTCTGGGCTGCTAACCAGAAGTTCAGTGGTTTGCTCCTTGGGAGAAAGATGTAGCAGTCTGCTTTGGTAAAGATTTACAGCCTTGGAAACTCTGTGTGGCAGTTCTACTTTGTCCTATAGGGTTGCTATGAGTCAGAATCGACTCCGTGGCATTTTTTTTTTTTAATAGGAGTTCCTAGCGTTTGCACAGTGCTTTCCACTGAGCTTTCCCAAACAGCATCCCACTCGGTCCTCAGAGCAGCCCTGTGTTTGGAGGCATGCTCTACACCATTTTACAGATGAGGAAACTAAGTCTGGCGGGACAGGTGCAAAGCAAGGCAGGGCCTACTATCTGGGCTTCCTGAGTAAATCCTGACTTCTGGAGAAGTGCACTGCTCCCTTCCAGCTCTGGCTTCTGAAGACTCCAAGCTCCTTTTCTGAAACCTCTGCCACCTTTTTCTCCCCATGCCCTCACCCACTGCTTCCCACTGGCTGTCCCAGTTCCTTCTCCACCCTCCTTCCCCAGTTACCTTTCTCATCCCGCAGCCTGCAACCCCACCTGGTTTCTGGGAAGGGAGAGGTGAACTCCAGCTACCCAGGCCCTCCCTCACTCCCCGGGTCCCCCTTGCTGCAGTTTTCCCCAGCTCTCTGCTTCATGGAATGCCTTCCTGTGAGGTCCTGAGAGGTGAAGTAAGAGGTGTTGTTTAACCTTCTGGACAGCGTTCCCGGAGTGTGGACCGGGACCACCCATGCAGGGCACAGACTCGTTAAATGGGCCCCACCTAAGTGACTCAGCACGTGCATTTTAACGAGCTCCTCTGGGTCTCACATGCACAGACCGCAGCTTGAGAACCACTGTTTGTAAAGAGGAGCCCTGGTGGAGCGGTTGTTAAGAGCTCAGCTGCTAACCAAAAGGTTTGCCATTTGAATCCACCAGCCGCTCCCTGGAAACCTTATGGAGCAGTTCTGCTCTATCCTAGAAGGTTGCAATGAGTCGGAATTAACTCTACGGCAACAGGTTTTGGGTTTGCCTCTTAAAGAGACTGGACCTTTAGGCCGTGGAGGGCGGCCCCAACATTGCTGCAGGGTGGCTGGGACTAAGTGTGGGGTGTGGGTGCCTGGAAAGGTAGTGATGGGAAGGCCACTTCAGCTCTGGGGCACCAGGAGCGCCCACTCCCAGCTTGCCTCTGCCAGGAATTGAGCTAGTGAGCCTGGGGCAGTAGTTCTCTGGGGCCACTGTAGGATCCCTGGGAAATCCAGGACAATGCTATTTATAAAGAGGCTCCCTGGCTGGCGTTGTTGAGACCCACTGGGGATGAGAGGTCTCGATTTGAGGTTCCCTGCTACCCCTGCAAAAGAGCCCTGGTGGGGCAGTGGTTAAGCCCTCGGCTGCTAACCAAAAGGTTGGTGATTTGAACCCACCAGCTGCTCTACGGGAGAAAGATGTGGCCGTCTACTTCTAGAAAGATGACAGCCTTGGAAACCCTATGGGCTGTTCTGCTCTGTCCTGTAGGGTCATTGTGGTCAGAATCAACTCGACGGCAACAAGTTTTGTTTTGGTTTTCTACCTTTGCCAGCTCTGCAACCTAGGCACGTCACTGATGGCTTCTGTCGTAATACCACAGGGATAACAGTCACAATGCCTCCCTCACTGCGCTGCCCCAGAGGAGAGGAATAAAGGGACTGGTGAACCAGAGGGCCTGAGGCCCCTACCTCAGAGGTATGGACGGGGACCTGTTTTGGTGGGAGGCTGGACTTGGGGATTCCACAGATCCGACACTTCCAGCTGCGCTCAGTCTGAGCCAGACAAGGAGCCCAGCTCCCCGCCTCCTGCTCACAACTTTCCAGGGCAAGGTAGGCCCTGTGGCTATGGGCTGGCCTCTGACCAGGGCTGCCTGCAGCACCCTGCTCCCTGCCCGCAGCTCCTGTGGCTCACCAGGACCACACATTTTTAGGCGAGGAGGGGTAAGGACCTGGCCAGGGAGACCCCACTGTGTGCCAGGTGTCACAGAGAGCTGGAGGAGCCACTTCAGTCTCCCTGGCAGGACATCTCCTCTCTCTGTGTTCCCTCTAGGAAATGGGACCAATCCCTGACTTGCCGAAGTGGAAGGTGAAGTGAGTTAACAGGCATGAAAAAGAGGCTAGAAAGATTACTGAGCACCTGCTACATGCTAGACAGAGGCTGTATGCACTGTCACAAGGGCCCTGCAAGGCAAACTGTTACTAATTCCTTTTAATAAATGAGGAAACCAAAGAGTAAGTAAGCACACATACACTAAAGAATGTGTGTTTGTGTGTGTGTGTGTGTGTGTGTGCGCGTGTGCGCGTGTAGGAGCCCTGGTAGTGCAGTGGTTAATGCACTAGACTGCTAAGTGAAAGGTCGGTGGTTCAAAACCACCAGCGGCTTCACTGGAGAAGGATGTGGCAGTCTGCTTCCGTCAAGATTTACAGCCTTGGAAACCCTTTGGGGTCACTACGAGTCAGAATCGACTTCAGAGCAGTGGGCTTGGCTTTTGTGTGTGTACACATATAATAAGTGACATGGGATGGGCTTCTTAATCATTTTTTTAAACAAAGACTATTCATATCATAAATATTACTCTGCAAATTACGTTTTTCACTGAAGAATATAATAGACATCTTTCCAGGTCGGGCCATATGGAACTAGCTCTTTGTGATGGCACAGAGTGGGTGTTCTCAACCACTGTCCTCTCAGTGGATGTTCAGATGTCCAAGTTGTTGCTGTTTCAAACAGTGCTATAGTAAATGCGGTTAGATGATGGATAGGTGCCTTTAGGTAATCATGCTTTTATTTCTGCAGGATAGGTTCCTAGAAACGGAATCGCCTAAAAAGTTACCCAATTCGCGTTCTCACCAGCACTGTATGTATTGAATGTTAACAAATTTTTGAATTTTTGTTAATCTGATGCCTCTCCCCCACCTCCCTAAAAAGGTATAATTGTTATAATTTGTATTTCTCTGAGTACAAGAAGTGAGCTGAACATTTTTTCAAATGTTTATCAGCCGTCTTCGTCTGAGTTCTCTAGAGAAGCAAAACCAGTGAAGCAGTTTTGAAGGATATCTTCTATATGGAGAGAGAGAGAGACTGATCTCAAGGAAATGGCACATGCCATTTACTGTAGAGGCTGGCAAGGCCCACGTCACTGTGTCAGGCTTTAGGCCAGTGGCTTCTCCTGACTCACGTAGTTGTAGGCGCTGACAAACCCAAGATCAGCAGATCAGATGGCAGGCTGTTGGCTCACAGACTGTGGAGGATGATGAATTCCAAGACTGGCAGGCAATACGGCGGGCCGCTGGCTCAAGTCCCAAGAACTGGAGGTCAGTCAGATGATGACAAGCTGGATCCAGGATCCAGAGAGAGCAAAAGCCAGCGAACTTTGTGAGAACGTCCATATACATTGGATGCAGGCCACACCCTTGAGAAAACTCCCCTTCCAACTGATTGGCTGATTACATCAGATCACATCATGGAGGAGATTACATGATATCACAAAATGGAGGATAACTACATCATTACATAACTGCCAAACCACTGAGAATCATGGTCTAGTCAAGTTGACATACAACCTTAACCATCACAATCAGCCAATATCATTTCTTTTCTATGAATTGCCCTTTCATATCTTCTGCTACTTTTCTATTGTTAGTTGTTGTCTGTTTGCTTTTTTTATAATTAAACTGTGGGGCTTCTATGTTAAAACAGATAATAATTCAACACTAATAGAGTCTGGAACTTATCAGTACCCAAAAGGCTGTTGTTACTGCCATTTTAGTCACTATTATTTTATAACAGATAAAAACATTCTGTCATGTGTGGCTGTTGGGTGCTGTCAAGTCGATTTTGATCCATGTGACAGAGTAGAACTGCTTCAAGGGTTTTCTAGGCTGTATCAACTCAACCGCAACAGGTAATCTTTATGGGAGCAGATCACCAGGTCTTCCTCCTGCAAAGATGCTGTGCGGGTTTGAACTGCCATCCTTTTGGTTATCAGCCCAGTGTAGCAACTTTTGCGCCAGCAGGGCGCCTTCTGTCTTGTGTGTTGTTGTTAGGTGCCATCAAGTCAGTTGCAACTCATAGTGACCCTATGTACAACAGAACAAAACACTGCCTGGTCCTGTGCCATCCTCACAATCATTATGGTTGAATCCATTGTTGCAGCCACTGTGTCAATCCATCTTGTTGAGGGTCTTCCTCTTTTTCGATGACCTGCTACTTTACCAAGCATTATGTGTCCTTCCCCAGGGACTGATCCCTCCTCATAACATGTACAAATTATGTGAGATGTAGTCTCACCAGCGTTGCTTCTAAGGAGCATTCTAGTTGTACTTCTTCCGAATCAGATTTGTTCGGTCTTTTGGCAGTCCATGGTATATTCAATATTCTTCGCCAACACCACAATTCAAAGGCGTCAATTCTTCTGCAGTCTTCCTTATTCATTGTCCAGCTTTTGCATGCATATGAGGCAACTGTAAACATGGCTTGGGTCAGGTGCACCTTATCTTCAAGGTGACATCTTTGCTTTTCAACACTTTAAAGAGTTCTTTTGCAGCAGATTTGCCTGATGCAATGCTTCGGTTAATTTCTTGACTGCTGCTTCAATGGGTGTTGACTGTGGACCCTAGTAAAATTAAATCCTTGATATCTTCAATCTTTTCTCCATTTATCATGATGTTGCTTACTGGTCTAGTTGTGAGGATTTTTGTTTTCTTTATGCTGAGGTGCAATCTGAAGGCTATAGTGTTTGATCTTCATCAGTAAGTGCTTCAAGTCCTCTTCACTTTCAGCAAGCAAGGTTGTGTCACCTGCACATTGCAGGTTGTTAATGAGTCTTCCTCCAGTCCTGATGCCCTGTTCTCCATATAGTCCAGCTTCTTGGATTATTTGCTCAGTATACAGATTCAGTAAGTATGGTGAAAGGATACAACCTTGACACACACCTTTCCTGACTTTAAACCTGCAGTACTCCTTGTTCTGTTTGAACGACTTCTTCTTGGTCTATGTACAGGTTCCACATGAACACAATTAAGTGTCCTGGAATTCCCATTCTTCCTAATGTTATCCATAATTTGTTATGATCCACACAGTCGAATGCCTTTGCATAGTCAACAAAACACAGGTAAACATCTTTCTGGTATTCTCTGCTTTCAGCCAGGATCCATCTACATAAGCAATGATATCCCTGGTTCCACATCCTCTTCTAATCTGGCTTGAATTTCTGGCAGTTCCCTGTTGATGTACTACTGCAGCTGCTTTTGAATGATCTTCAGCAAAATTTTACTTGCATGTGATATTAATGATATTGTTTGATAATTTCTGTATTTGATTTGATCACCTTTCTTGGGAATAGGTATAAATATGGATCTCTTCCAGTAGGTTGGCCAGGTAGCTGTCTTCCAAATTTCTTGGCATAGACAAGTGAGCACTTCCAGCACTGGATCCGTTTGTTGAAACATCTCAATTGATATTTTGTCGATCCTGGAGACTTGTTTTTTGCCAATGCCTTCAGTGCAGCTTGGACTTCTTCCTTCAATACCATAGGTTCTTAATCATATGCTACCTCTACATGTATAATTCAGTGACATTGATTACATTCTTCAAGTTGCACAACCATTCTCATTTTCCTTTTCCAAATCGTTCTTCCCCCATTAACATAAACTCACTGCCCCCTAAGCTTCCTATCTAACTTTCTGAGTTGCTAGATGCTGTTGTCTATTTGATCCCATAAAATAGTTTTCTTTAAAGAGCACAATGCTTAAGGTAGACACTCTTCACTAATTAGGCTAAACTATTGTTTGGTTTAAAGAAGGATTCAGGGGATATTTTTAGCTTAAGATTTAAAGATTATCTGAGGGTCATAGTTTTGGGAGTTCATCCAGCCTCTGTGGATCCAGATAGTCTGGATTCCATGAAGTTTTGAAATTCTGTTCTACATTTCCCTACTTTTGATCAAGGATTCTCCTGTAGAATCCTTGATCAAAACATTTAGTAATGATAGCTGTGCACCATCCAGTTCTTCTAGTCTCATGGCAAAGGAGACAGTTGTTCATGGAGGCAAAATTAGCCACACATTCTATTTCCTCTTCCTATCCCTGACCCTGAGAGAAAAAAATTAAACCCTTGGAATTTCCTGAATAATTATGGTGGCTTTGTTATCTGTAACCCTCCATACTATACTTGAGAGTTAGATGTCTCAGATAGGGGCTGACCAGGCCAGAAAGACCACCTCATGATATCAGCTGACCTCAGGGGAGGTGGCCTGATTCAGTCAACCATGACTATGTAAAAAGGCCCCAGTAGAGGCTCTGGACATGGAAGCTCCATGAGCTTCCTGGTTGACTAAAAACATCTGTCCTTGGGAGGGTGACGTGCCCTTTTTTGGGCTATAGAAGCTCAGTGTGGGGAACCCTCCCAGATACCACCCAATTTGTCTCTTCTTTACATTGAACCTAATTTGTATCCTTTATAATAAAGGATCATTCTGTGAGTTCTATGAGTCGAGTCGTTCTAGTGAATTACTGAACTTGAGGGAGTAGTGGGAACCAGCAGGCCAATGAGGGGGCTGGGAACTCCTGAACTTGTGATTGGTATTCTTGAGGGGGTAGAGGGAACCCACTTGTAGCCAGCAAGTCAGATGTGAGGGGACCCATGGGGACTCCTAAGCTTGCAGCCAATGACTGAAGTCTTGGCCCTACTTGGCAGTGTGGAGTACTGTGTCTTTTAACTTGTGAGCTCTGAACTAGCTCTAGGTGGTTAAGGTTAGAGGAAGAAGTGCTGCATGGGCAAATGGTTTCAAAACAGAAGTGGCAGAAAAGTGTAAAGTGGAGAGTTTTGCTTTCTGTTGATTTTTACGCTTATAGGAATCATGGAAAAAACCCCACTGGCCTTGTATTTGAGCTCTGTCTGAATAAATTTAGCTCAGTTACATAAATGCTCTGAGCCTATTTCTTCATCTGCAACATGGCATGGCCTACCAGGTTGTCACAGAGATCAAACGAAGTAGTGGGTGGAAAGTATTTGGAAAACAGTGAAGAGCTGTGTAAATGTGGGTGGAAAAGTCGTAGTTACCATTGTCATCAAATGGCCCTGTCATCTCAGAATCTAAAGAGGCATAGCCTGGGCCAGCCAAGAGTAGATGGAAGGAAGAGACCAGGCCTTAGAGAGTGAGAAGGAGCAGTGCGGGGAGGCTCCAATCCCATTGCATGGCAGCAGCTGAGTCAGAGGAAGGCAGAGGTCCTGGGACCACCGGGGACCATCCTCACATGCCTTCTTCAAGCCCATGAACCTGCCTCCTTTGTTCCCCAGCACCATGAATGCCGAGGAGGATGCTAAGTGGCTTCAGTGGGTGACATACCAGTTTGAGACATGGCAGGAAAAGACTGAAAGATCAGCCTGCAAGAATTCAAAACAGCCCTGAACATGAAAGAGGCAAGTGTCTACTCTGGAAGTGGGGGCCCTACATTCATATTTTATAGAGGAAGAGCAGGCATGTTCTCCAAACACAGTGCTTGTAAGGAAAGAAAAGGGAGCTCCCCTGAATTCCCCTGGGCTTGAGGTCTCCACCTTTGGCCACATTGGGAGGGGTGTGTTTCTTTTTCTGCTACTGGCATCCTCCCACCCCAATTCATAGATGTGCCTCCTGGGGTCTTCAAAACAACACATGAAGTTGGAAATCAGTAGTTTGTCAAATCTTAAGAAATACTATTGACCTTACTAGCCTCATGGGCATAGCTGATGCTATGACTTAAGCTTCCTTCCAGGAACAGCTTTTCAATGGTTTGTATCTGTTAAAACTCTGATTGCATTGCCACATCATTCCTGGTCCTCTCTCCTTGTCCTAGATCCCCGCCCACTCCCATAACAGCCTGCAGGCTTGACAAAAGGTAGGGGAAAGAGCAGAGCAATGGGAGGAATGAGCCTACAAATGCCAACCTCTCCCCAAGTTGTCCTGTGGGCCACCTTAGGTGGTGGCCTGTGTCCTTAATAGGGACTAGCCATCTGAATGCCCCTATTGGGAGTCTCTGGGTGGTGCAAATGGTTAACATGCTTAGCTGCACTGAAAGGCTGGAAGTTCAAGTGCACCCAGAGGTGCCTTGAAAGAAAGGCCAGGTGATTTCTGAAAAATCAGCCATTGAAAACTCTATGGAGCACAGTTCTACTCTGACACACATGGGGTCACCATGAGTTGTAATCAACTTGAGGACAACTGGTTTAGCTGATTCAGGGGACTCTCACTTGCTGGTACCAGGGATACTGCTCAGAACTCTAAATGCCATGCCTTCTTCCATAGCAAATATGGGGAAGGAAGGAAAGTTCCGTTCTGCCTATCATAACAGGAGCCTGCAAAACATCTTAAGATAAAGACTATTCAGGATGTTAGAAAGTGATGAAGACGTTACCCAAGAGAACTAGAGGAAAAAGGCAGGGCCGATGTCTGTCCCCACTAGCTCCTTGTAAACTCCTCAGAGTTACATTAGGTCAGACTCTAAAGCCCTGCAGGCTCCTCCCTCCGCCTCGAGGGGAGCGTGCCAGGGCATGACATTTCTGGGACACGGATGCAAGCCTGTCTTGTTAATTTCCATAGTACATGATTTTACAGTGAATGAATGAACAGGCATTTAAGAAAAATCCTTAAGTGTAGGCTGTAGGTAGCCTTAAGGCAAAGAGAAGGAAAAAAACGTAGGTATTCAAGTGGCACATACTCTACAAGTCCTTCCCAGATTCACTTTCACTTATCCCTTGGGGTTACCCCAAGGTGGATGAGACAGGGCTTGGGAGTAACCTGCAGAAGGACCCTTTTCTCATGTTGGGTGAGGGGCCATCCAATGTCTGGACCGCAAGGCTAACGGGGCTGTGGCTTGTAGGGGGCAGACAGCCTATGCGAATGACCTGGTCCAGGGGGCCAGAGGGGAGCTGGGGCCCAAACACAGGTCCATCCTTGCTGAAGGGTCTCAACATTTCTTTCACTGGAGCCCAAACTTGCTCTCAGCAAGCCTGGTCGGCATGGACGCTGCCCCATGGTGTGGCCGCGTGGGGCCCATCACACGCTGTGTTCAGGCACCTGGTCCTCCCCTATATACTCGGAGACAGTGAATGAAATCAGAGCCCAGGTCCAGTGGCCACACATGTGTGTATCTCCCTTCTCTGACCACCGTCCTTCTTTGCTGAGCGATTCTGCACGCTGTTTGACTCCGACGGAAGCGGCACCATCACCCTCCAGAAGCTGCAGGAGGCGCTGGCTCTGCTCATTCACGGCAGAACTACGGACAAACTCAAATTCCTCTTCCAGGTGTATGTCGATGGTAAAGGCTCCTCCTGGGGGTGGGACTCAGTGAGCAGGGGACAAAAGGACACAGCATGACTCATAAAGGGCCACCCAGACCCTCCAAGGCCCAGCATGGGGCTCTTCCTCCAGGTGAGGCTGTCCAGCCCTCCCTCGGTGGTCTCCCCCACCCACCCCAGGTTCTCTCCCTCTCATCCCTGCCCCATTGGGCTGAGAGAAGGGAAGAGTGGGAAAGATGGTCTGGCCCAGGAGACAAATGCCCTTTACTAAACTCCCCTCCCCATAAGCCAGAACTTCCTTTTGTTCCTTTCTATGTTTAAAAAAGTAATTACTGTTTTGCTTTTTCCTTATTATAATGAGATATGTTCACTATGAACATTTTAGTACAGAAAGGTATAAAGAAGAAAGCAAAAATCACCCAAAATCTTTTGATATTGTTGTTAGTGTTGTTAGGTGCCATCTGGTTGGTTCTGACTCACAGTGACCCTGTATGTATAACAGAACGAAACACTGCCTGGGCCTGAGCCATGCTCACAACCATTGTTATGCTTGTGCTTTTGCTTTATCACCTTCTAACTTTTCACACACACACAGATGCCCTATGCACATCTTTTTTAAAACAAAATGGGATTATACATAATGCCTTTTTTTCACTGAACAATTTAAACATCTTTTCATATGAGACTATATCAATTTATAGCATTATTTTTTGTGGCTGTATCATATTCTGTTGTATGTATATGATCATATGTGCCGTGCTATACGGCCTAATAGTTAATAATCTATTTTTAACTATTAAGTTAAAAACACATACTCTAAGGCCAGACTATCTAGGCTGAAATCTCAGTTCTACCACTGATTAACTATTTCTATGCCTCAATTTCTTTATCTATAAAATAGGAATGAGAATAATAATAGTACCTACTCTAAGGTTGATATGAGAATTAAATTAGTTAACTTATATAAAGTGCTCAGAACAGTGCCTAGCATAAGATATATCCTTTATATGTGTCAACTATTATTACTACTGTTTGTCCAAACCCCTGTTATCAAAGAATTCCATTGTTTTTCTTTTCTTTTTTTGGCATTATAAACAACGCTGCAATGAACATCCTGGTGTGCACATCTTTGATGACTTATCTGATTATTTTCTTAGCATAAATTCCTAGAAAGGCTTACGCTGCACATTCAGGCAGGACATTTCAAAGTAAAGGCAACCAAATATACACAGATAGCCTGAGTAGACTGAGACTGGCAGTCTTCTGTCAGGTCACAGCCTTGGCCTCTTCTGCACCCTGTCTTGAGAGCACCCTTGACTTCCAGGGCTGGCCAATCTTCCCTGGTCCTGGGACCACTGTGGCCCCTTCTTCAGTTGCTGGTGCTCCCCTAGATCCTGTAGGTGCCTTCCTCTGTGACACAGACCCTTTCCCAGCTTGCACATCTAGGGTTTCCTTGGGGTGGACCCCGGCTGTTTAGGGTGCCAGCTGGAGCTGGGGCCGCACCTTTTCTTCAGAGGGGAGCCAACGCGGGTCTGTTCACATACAATTTCTCCGGAAGGAGCAATACATCCTCTTGGCTAGTGAAGACAAGAGGGAGGAGCTGGGGGAGAGGAAGAGCTTCAGAAGAGACTGGGAGGAAGGACTGCCGCTGTTTCCTCAGGCATGAATGCCACTTCCCCATTTTTAACCCCAGAAAGCTCACAGGTCTCTGTAGATTAAGGAAGCAAGTTTATTTTCTGGGCAGATGGTCTTGGAGGTTGACTAGTACTCAGATTCTGGAGAAAGGTATCCACCGAGGCCAAAGCTTCTCCATGCTTGGGAAGGCGTCCATCTTTGGTAAGCTAGGCAGTAGGGAGCCATGGAAGGTTTTTGAGCTGGGGGTGACATTTTGTCCTTTAGTTGCCTGGTCTTTACCCCAGAGGTGAGTTGGCTGGCAGAAAGCTGGAGGTAGGCGAACAGGAAAAATCTCTTAAACCGCCCGACCCGATGCAATGTTTGTGCAGGGCGGGGGAGTCTGCAGGGGGTACTGGGCAGGCGCCCCTCTCCATTAGGTTCCATCCCCACCCCGCGCTGGCAGCGGCTCCATTGACCCGGACGAGTTCCGCCCGGTGCTGCAGTCTTGCCTGCGCGAGAGCGCCATCTCGCTGCCCGACGAGAAGCTGGACCAGCTGACGCTGGCGCTCTTTGAGTCGGCGGGCGAGGACGGCAGCGGTGCCATCACCTTCGACGAGCTCCGCGACGAGCTGCAGCACTTCCCTGGCGTCATGGAGAACCTGACCATCAGGTACCGCCCGGTCTCCGGCCCAGACCTTAGCCTCCAGGCTGGTATCCGATCAGACTCCGGGGTGGCCGGTTCTCACGAGGGGGCGGGGCCCCGTTCCGCCCCGCCCCGGCCCCGCCCCGGCCCCGCCCCTGCGCCCGCCAGGCCTGGGTCCGAAACCCCCAGCTCAGCCCCGGCCCCAGCCCAGCATAGCCCAGCTCAGCCCGTCGTCTCCTAGGGGACGAAGGTCTGTCTTGCAGGGCAGCTATTGTCATACTTCCATTTTTTGCAGTATCCCTTCAGAATCAACTCACAGTATCAAGCCCCTACTATGTGCTGGGCACTTTTACTCATATTAGTGAATTTTACAGCAACGCCCATTTTATAAAAGGAAATTGAAGCCAGGAGGTGAAGCAACGTGCCTAGAATCACACAGATAATTAGCAAAGGCAGCCACTGATTCATCAAATATTGGTTGAGCAGCTACTATGTCCCCGGCACCTTCTGAGTAATCTCCATATGGTAGTGAATGAAGTTCCCATCCTCCAGGTGGAGCCACATATTTATACCAATAAACAAATACATAAACTAAAGCAATCGAAAACGGATAAGTGCTAAGAGGAAAATAAATAGAGTGCAATGACAGACCCAGGTTTGCCTGACTCCAAGGTCTGAATGGTGTCGGTTTTGTAGTTCATTCTTTTTGTGTATTAGCTTTTTTTTTTGTGGGCTATTTACTACAACATGTCTCAGATTCCTCGATTCTTCTCAATTGCTCTTTTTTAATTGGGTGGTAAGAAGAGGTAGGAGCCCTGGTGGCGCAGTGGTTAAGAGCTATGGCTGCGGTTGGTAGTTTGAATTCACCAGCCGCTCCTAGGAAACCCCATGGGGCAGTTCTACTCTGTCCTATAGGGTCGCTATGAGTCGGAATCGACTGGACGGCAAGAGGTTTGGTTTTTGGTCCACCCCATTTACTAGCCGTGTGTCTGTGAGCGAGTCACTTGACTTCTCTGTTTCTCTGAGCCGCAAGACTTCAAAGAGTGGATTGGGTACCACGGGAGAGGGGTCTCTAGGTTCAGACTCGGGTGGTGCCGCCGAGTCTCTGTGAGCCAAGCCGCTCTTTCACAGCGCCGCCCACTGGCTGACGCCCCCCTCCGCCCTGCCGCGCCCGCGCCGGCCGCGCCCCCTGACCCTCGCCTACTGGCACAACCACCGCAGCCAGCTCTGCCTGGCCGCCTACTGGGTCCTCTGCGTGCTGCTCTTCGCCGTGGCCGCGAGCGCGCCCCGGACGCTCGGCCCCAGCATCATGGTGGCCAGAGGCTGCGGCCAGTGCCTGAACTTCAACTGCAGCTTCATTGCGGTAGGGCTCCGCTGGCATGATGGGGGGAAAGGGGCGCGGGGGCGGGGGATGATGTAGGCTCCTCGAAGGCCAAGGGACTCACACGTGGACACCTGGAACGCCTGGCCAACACTCAGCGGTGGAGGCTGAGGCCCCCAGAGGGGCGGTGACTTATCCACGGTCACACAGCCAGTTAATAATAATAAATAGCTGGCGTTTATTGAACACTTACTATGTGCCAGTCACCGTGCCAAGCACTTTTCATTTGATCCTATGGCGGGCCCTGAGGAGATGGCCTGGCTCCCGGGCAGGGCTCCAAAGAGAGAACACTTCCAGTGGCCTTGAACGCCAGACTAAATAGCTGGAATGTGATCCTCTGGAATGCGACAGTGAGTGAGGTCACCAAGCATTTTTGATCACACGCTCATATAATTAAAAACAACAACCCTCGCAATATCCCAATACGTGTTTATTTATTTATAATTATATACATGCTCTGTTATCATCAGGAGTCCCTAGGTGGTGCAAACGGTGAAGTGCTTGATTACTAGCTAAAAAGTTGGCAGTTCGAACCCACCCAGAGGTGCCTCGGAAGATAGGCCTGGCAATCTGCTCCCAAAAGGTCACAACCTTGAAAACCCTGTGGAGCAGCTTTGCTCTGCACACACTGGGTCACCATGAGTTGGAATCGACTGGACGGCAGCTAACAACATTATCATTACCTGCTGAACTCACCACACAGTAAAACTATCAGGCAAAATTCATCGTTAATGATCATGGATAGCCATCTCTAGTTCAAATACTCTTCTGGGTAATATCAGCTGCTTGTCAGAAAGGGCTTTATTTTTAACCTCAAACTGACTGACAAAGAGTTCATACCAGGAGTTGGAGACATGTGGGCTCATTTTCTTGATCATTTGCTCTTGCATTATTAGCACTATCTTCAATCTGTAGTTCCTCTACAGGTACTCTTTTTAAGCTACAAACCAAAACCAAACCCATTGCGGTCGAGTGGATTCCAACTCTCAGAGATCCTGTAGGACAGAGTAGAACTGCCCCATAGAGTTTTTAAGGCTGTAAACTTTACTGAAGCAAACTGTCACATCTTTCTCCCATGGAGTGTGCTACTGGGTTCAAACCACCAATCTTTGGGTTAGCAGCTGAGCGCTTAACCACAGCACCACCAGAGCTCCTTCTTTTTAAGCTACTTATCCTTTTTTGTGAAGGGAAGTTTAGTTTAAGTTAGCTTAGTTAAAACCAGATAATGTCATCTGCAAGTCTACACATCTGGATGCACACAAATACACTGAAAGCAAACGAGCAAGTGAGGGAGCCCCCGTGGACGGCTCTGCGATTTGGAAAGCCCGGTCCCCCCCTGGGCACCTCGAGACCCACACATGGCATGTGCCTGTCTGACATACAGACTGAATGAGGGCACCGTGTCAGCGCAGATATTAAATATTAGTGAAAGCTTATGGTGCTCTCATGTGTTCAGATAAAAAGTAATGCAGGCAGACATTCTGTAAACACAGTCTCTTCCCACTGCAGTGGATTCTGGAGACCCCACTTTGGAGACCCCAGCTGTGGACCTGGGGCAACCAGTGATGGATGGGAACAGGGGGGCATGGTGATCGGGCCAGTTCAAGAAGTACAACCAGTCAGGGAGGATGCAGGGAGACAGCTGGAGAGGGCACAGGGCAGAGAGAGAGTAAGTGAGGCAGGCTCTCTGTCACTTTTGGGCCAGGTGCTGATGCTCAGGCGCTGCCTCACCTGGCTGCGGTCCACGAGGCTGGCTCAGGTCTTGCCGCTGGACCAGACCATCCAGTTCCATCAGGTCATGGGCTACGTGGTGGTTGGGCTCTCCCTTGTGCACACTGTAGCCCATGTTGTAAATTTTGGTGAGTGGCCTGGTGGAGGAGGGGACCTGGGGGATGGAGCCTGGATCTTCTCACAAACCACTCAGTTATCCAGCCCTTAGCCCAGGACATGGGCACAGCCCCTCTGGGTCCTGCCTGCCCAGTGGGTGGAGAAGGGGTGGCCTGGGGAAGCTGGCTGTCTGGACGATAGTCCTTGCCTATACCGGTATTGGATGGGAGGGGTGGAGGACCCAGAGGGAAGGTGGCCTGGGAAGAAAGAGCTCAGCTTGTGCGTGTCTTCAGTGCTCCAGGCTCAGTCCCAGGCCAGCCCCTTGCAGTCCGGGGAGCTGCTACACATCGCGAGACCTGGCGTTGGCTGGGCCCATGTCCCAGCCGTCCTGACGTGGACCGGGGTGGCTCTGCCGCTGCTACTCCTCATGTTCGCCTGCTCCAGCTCCTGCGTCCACAGAAGCGGGCACTTCGCGGTGTCCCATCCCCTGCCCTTTTGCCTCTCCCCAAGTCAGGCTCCCTGCCTGTTCTTACTGTGTCCCCTCTAACTTAGCCTAGAGCCATGGCCCAGGAAGGTCCCAGGCTGTTCTGCTTATTATTTGCATGTAATTTGGGTTCTGCCATTTAATGTCCAGTTCACATGAGAATATTTTGCTTTGGAAGATTCTGCTTTTTCACTGGTTTATCATCTCGCCCTAATTGGATTGGGCTGAGCTCAAGACAGCAGAGGGTAGGAAGGAACACAGGCTCACCAGGGTTCAAATCCCTACCCCGCTACTGGCTGGTCACTCAACATTTCTGAGCCTCAGTTTTCTCATCTGTAAAATGGAGGTGTAATTCTCTACCTTTTGAAGTTACTTTAGAAATTAAATGAGATAATATAGTTACAATGTCTTAGAGAAAACAATATGAGATAATAATGAAGCCACTAACTATATACCTGGCACAGAGGAGCTCAGAAAAAATTAGTTCAATCTTCACTTCCCTCTCTCTAGCCTCCTCAACAGGAGGTCACAGGGGCCTTGGTTTGGAGACCCTGGCTGTCTTCTAAACTGACCTGGCCACATAGAAATCAACAGATACAGAACACCTCCTCTGGGACCAGCAGAAGTTGGAATCAACATCCTCATTTGACGGATGAGGAATCTGATGCTCAGGAAAGTTCACTACTTGCCCGAGTTTCCATGGCCAGTCAGTAGCGGAGTAGGCATTAAAACTCAGTGTTCGAATCCAGTCCCTTGCTCTTTCTTCCTACTCCTAGAAAGCCATTGCTGTCTTCCCTTTCTTTGCCCTGAGAAAGGGTCAGTGGGGTGGGTGGGCACACTGATGCTCTCCTTGTCCCAGCCCATGATCCTTTTTGGGGTGCCTAGAACATCCCCAGGCAGATGTTTGCCTCTGGCAGGAATCTTCCTTCACAGACACCCTTAGCTGAGCCCAGAACAAAGAATCCATGAAGCTTCCCAAGCCCAACCTCCTTCTCTTCCCAGTCCCCTAGGTTCCCAGGAGAGGCTGTGTATTATGGTCCAGGCTCTGGGCACCACCCTAGCTTTGAGGATGGGCCTGAACCCTGCTCTATTCCATGCCCCCACCCACACCTTTAGCTCTGGTTGTTTACTCCTCCCTCCCCCAACAGGTGTTCTATTGGACCCACCTGTCCTACCTCCCCATATGGGGGCTGCTTATCATGCACGGGCTCAGCTTCTGAAAGTGGCTGCTGGTCCCCGGCATCTTGTTCTTCCTGGAAAAAGTCATCGGACTGGTGGCATCCCGCATGGCAGCCCTGTGCATAGTGGAAGTTAACCTCCTCGCCTCCAAGGTGCGAGGGACCCTTCCCCATCTAACCCTGAGGGGCTACGGGGAGCCACAGGTGGTGGGTGGAACAGTTGGGTTCCCTGTTAGACCCTGAGGAATAAGGGAAGAGTGTCACCCCAGCACTGCCAAAGAGATAAGCAAAGGGCAAGACCTGTCCAGCCCTGCAGGAGTGATGTGATAAAAATGGTGTGGGGGCGGCGTCTGACCTCCTCTAACTTCACAAGGGGAAGGGACCAAGATCAACAGCCCCAGACTGATTCCTATGAGGCAGAGGCCAGACATACCTCCTCTCTCTGCCATCTTTAACTGATTCTGACACCAACCATCCCTCCCATAGCACTCTCTACTTCTCTTCTGGGTTCGATAATTTGTTGTAACGGCACAGAACTCACAGACCGTACTCATGATTATGGGGTTTATTACGGAAGTAACAGGTTACATCAGGTTCAGGAACGCTCAGGATACAGTTCTTCCATCAGGATAGCTTCTTCCCAGCCATGCCACAAGCACACCTCTCTCTGGCCCCTCGGCCTCTGCCCTGCTCAGGGGCAAGCGTTACAAAGCTCTTTTAGCTCTGCCAATAAGCGCCCGGAGGCAGCCCACTCCATCAGTAAGCCTCGGCCCAAAGGCACTCAGCTTTCTCATTCCATGCGCCAGGAAGCCCACCGCGCTGTCTCCTGCCACCATTTCTCTTCCGCCGCTTATCTGCCTCTCCTTCCTTGGTGGTGGCGGGATCCTCTCTCTGCTCTGGAATTGGCTCTCTTTTAAGGCAAAATTGACCAATCCCCTTGGTGGGCCACAAATGCCTTATTTGCACAGTTCCATCCAGCCACTTGGGTGGGAGTTACAAGCCCATGGCGAGAAAGGCCACACAAAAGCGATCCAACCCACTGCAGATGCTTTAGGAAGGGGCAGGCAGGGTACAATTAATGGTCTGGGTAGAACAGTCTCAGTTCAGCTCAGCAAACATGTATTAAGTGCCTCTGAGGTGCCAGGCCATGTGCTAGGTGCCAGAGACCCAGAGAAGGCTTAGGCACTGTCCTACTATCCACGAACCCACAGGCTAGGAGGGGAGTCAGCCCTTTCGTTACAGGGCAGGGCTGTGTAGGTGAGAGAAGAAGTAGAGTGACAGGAGCTGTTAAATCCTTTGTCTTTGAGAGGTCAGAGAAGGCTTCAGAATAAGAGAGAAGATGCCATATTAGGGTTTTGAAAGATGAATAGGAGTTTGTTGGATAGATAAGACAGGGAAGGATGTTCCTGGGAGAAGAAACAGCATGGGCAAAGACACAGAGGTGCAAAAGAGTATACTGCATTCGGGGCACTGTAGGTAACTTAGCATAGCCACAGCTTCAAGTGAGTATCAGGTTGCCAGGAGAAGCTGGGCAGGAACTGATCATGAAAGGCCTGTCAGCTGTGCTAGGAGCCTCGTCTGCAGGCCACGGGGTACCACTGAGCAGGGCGGGGGCGATGGTCTTAAGCTGGGACAACATTGTCCATTATTCTGGCTAGATTTCCTGAGTTGCTCTGTGGCCCAACTTCGAGAGGCCCAGCTTGGAGGCTGTGGCCAATATGGAGATGAGTGCTCCTGAGGGCGTTGACCCTGAGCTCTGATCCCGAAGCAGTAGCTGTGGGGCGGAGGGAGATGCATGTGGAGAAAGACTCGAGAGGTAACTGGCTGTATGCTGGGGTGAGAGAGAAGCAGGAATCTAGGCCATCTCCCGGGCTCTGAGTGACCAGTAGATGGTGGTGCCATCTATAGCGAAAGGGGAGATAGTTCTGGGTGGGCTCAGCTCCGAACAACCTGAATTTGAGGACGGAGAAGGCTGAATAATGAGGCTATGGTTTATGTGTTGACTCTGGCATCCGACAGCCTTGCTAGGATTCCAGTTCCATTGTTTCCTAGCTGCTGGCCTTGGGCAAGTTATTTAACGTCTCTGAGCCTCAGCTTCTTATCTGTAAAGTGGAGGAAGATTGGCATGGATCTCATAGAGCTGCTCTGAGGACTAGAGATAACACTTGAAGTTCTCCACACAGCTCCAGCACGTGATTAAAACGAAAAAAACAAATCCATTGCCATCGACTGGGTTCTGCCTCATAGTGACCCTATAGGACAGAGTAGAACTGCCCCATAGGGTTTCCAAGGAGCGGCTGGTGGATTCGAACTGCTGACCTTTTAATTAGTAGCCATAGCTCTAAACCACTGCACCACCAGGGCTCCAGTGCATAGTAAGTGCTCAATACATGGAAGCTGTTGTCCAGGAAGACGTGGTTTCAAAGGCCAGATGCCCATTAGGCGGTTGGCATGCCAGCCAAGGACTGGCTGTAAGTGCTACAGAAGTGTCAAGAGGGGGGCTAGAGCAGGCAGGGAGGCTTCACTACTTCACTAAACAGCAGTGTTTACACCCCGAGAAGTGGGATAAAACTCCAGACCCCACTTCAGCCCAGCCTGACGCCCCCCTTCTCCGATTGTCACCCACCTGCCCTCCAGACCCACCTCCAGGTTGGTCAAGGCATCTCCTCCCACCCCCTGCAGAGTTCTCAGGGATAAAAGTCCAAGAGGGGTGTCTGGGAGTGGCTTCTGGCTCAGAGAGCCCCTGTCCTGCCAGCAGGGGGGCCAGTCACCTTGGCAGGTGTGCTCAGGGGGAGCCCCCACTCACAACACAGAGGGTCCCAGGTGTTGGGGTCTGCCAGATGCCTGGTGGAGGCTGCTGGCCTAACCTCTGCACTCTTGCCCTGGAGCTCCTGGCAGCTTTGGGCCTGCAGGCATTACCCTGCTCTCTTTCCTCTCTCCCCAGGTCACGCACCTCCTCATCAAGCGGCCCCCTCTGTTCCACTATAGGCCGGGTGACTACTTGTATCTGAACATCTCCTCCGTCGCATGCTATGAGTGGCACCCCTTCACCATTAGCAGAGCTCCCGAGCAGAAAGGTACAGCGAGCGCAGCCAGTCGCTCCACACGCGTGTGCGGCCTTCCTACCCTGTGCAAGTGCAGGCCTGGGACTAGGAACCAGTGGTGCACAAGACAAAGACAGGCTCAGAGAGCTCCCTCCAAAGCAGGGGGCAGACATGCAAATGCTCACTGAGTGGAGTGATGCATTAGTCTGCTAGGGCTGCTGTGACAAAGTACCACACAGTGAGCTTGGGTTGACTTCATCAAAAGACTGTAAGGTCTCCCTCAGAAAGATCACATCTCCGAGTCTCATGGCTGTGGCTGCCAGTGTGGTCCTGAGGAAGGACATTCACACCAGAGCTTTTAGCAGCTGAGGCACCAGCACCAGTTTCTCCAGTGAGACGAGACTGCTCCCTGCTGGAGGCCAGCGCTGACCCCCTGACCCCTTCGCCCTGTCTCTTGCTCAGACACCGTCTGGCTACACATCCGGACCCAAGGCCAATGGACAAACAGGCTGTATGAGTCCTTCAAGGCGTCAGACCCCGTGGACTCTGGTTCCAAGAGGCTGTCGAGGAGTTTGAAGATGAGGAGTCAGAGGAGGCCCCAGATAAGTGGCCGCTGAGGAGAAAGGGGTCTGCCATGATGGAAAGCCCTCAGGGACCAGTTGGCTTCTTCTGGTGAGGCATCAATCATCCAGCAACTGCTCTGTACACAGGGTTGGATGGCAACTGCTGACCGTGTGGCCAAGAGCCTCCCCGAAGCCTGAGGACCCCAAACACCCCCAATCTGAATTCCTCCATTAGAAAGGGGTACAATTGAGATAAGAAATTGTAGGGGAAATTGGGAGCAGAAAAACTCACCTCCAGGTGCTCCAGTACATTCTAACTGTATGGCTTTGGATACATCATTTAACCTCCCTGAGTCTCAGTTTCTTCAGCTATAAAATGGAGGTAATACGCACCCTTGGGTTCTCTTCCTCACAGGATTCTTTTAGGGACAATTGAATGAATGCATGTAAAGCATTGAGTGAACTTGACAGTATTAGTCCAGCTGCACCACCTTCATCACCATCATCATCATCATAGTATTATCTTTTAAGCCCTGACGAAACCACAAAGCTGACCAGCTACTGGTGCCTTGGCGTGAATACGGGCTGTGCAAAATTTGACGGGGTTGTAGAGAGAGACTGGAGGAGCTCCTGAGGAGATGAGAAAAGACAAGGGAGGCTGAGGGGGCTGAATGCAAACTTAGTAGGCTGTGCTCTTGGCTGGGAGACAGGTTAATATATGAAAACCCTGCCTTGCCCTTGCAGAATTTAAAGTCCAGTACAGAAAACTAGGTGAAGCCTTCCTGGCCAGCCCACAGGACCCTTCCAGAACCATGCCAAGAGCAAAGCTTTGGGATTTGGAGTGGGTAGGCGGGAACAAGAGGAGAGTTCTCTGCTGTTAATCCAGGAAAACTCCTAAAGGAAGAAGTTGATTTTAAAACCGGGTAAGTCATGGCACGTTGGATCAGTAGGTAGAGACATTACAAGCTGTGTTTCCTTGGGACTTGAGTACCACTGCCAGATAATGAATTGGACAGTCTTTCTGGAGAGCAGTCTGGGCATATGTGCCAACTTTTAAATAGGTATAACCACTAGCAGCAATTCCATTTTTAGGAATTTATCCTAAAAACCTAATTGGACGGAAGTGCAAGAAGTCCATGAATCAGCATGTTCATGTAGTGATTTAGTAAATATTTCTTGAGCACAGCACTCACTGTTTGCCAAGTCCTGTTCTTGGTGTTGGAGATATTTCGATAAGCAAAACAGACACAGTCCCTGCTTACATTCCAGTGGGGAAGACAGATAATAAATAAACAAACTAGCAAAATACGTATATGTCAGGTGATAAGTGTTATGTGGAAAAATAAATCAGGGTAAAGGGATAGAGATGGGAGAGGTGCTATTTTATAGAGGGTGGATGTTCCTAATAGATGAGAAAATAAAAATAATCAAAATGACTAACAATAGAGACGCTAAATAAATTATGGATCACCCCTACAATGGCGAGCAGAGCACTCAAGCATTGCGCCACCAGGGCTTCTTAATGGAATAGTAAATTGCCTAAAAACAAATGATTTGTAAATTTATATGTATTAGCATAGAAAGCTATTCAAGATATAGTAAGTGGAAAGGCAGATCACAAAGCAGTCTGTTCCAGCCCTAGGCGCTCAGCTGCTAACCCAAAGGTTGGCAGTTCCAGCCCACCCAGCAGCTCCTCAGGAGAAAGACCTGGCGATTGGCCCCCATAAAGATCGCAGCCAGGATGGATCAGGAGAAAAATGTGGTGCAGAACTCAAATTCACATAAAAAGATCAGACTTAATGGTCTGACAGACTGGAGGAACCCCAGAAGACATGGCCCCCAGACTCTATTAACCCAGAACTAAAACTATTCCCGAGGCCAACTCTTCAGACAAAGACTAGACTGGACTATAAAACATAAAATAATACTCATAAAGAGTGTGCTTCTTAGTTGAAGTAGATACACGAGACTAAATGGGCAGCTCCTGTCTGGAGATGAGATGAGAAGGCAGAAAGGGACAGGAGCTGGTTGAATGGGCACAGGAAACCCAGGGTGGAAAGGAGGAGTGTGCTGTCACAGTATAGGGAAAGCAACTAGGGTCACATAACAATATGTGTATAATTTTTTTTTATGAGAAACTAACTTGAGCTGTAAACTTTCACCTAAAGCACAATTTAAAAAAAGAAGGAAAAAAAACCCATTGTCGAGTCGATTCCGACTCATAACAACCCTACAGAACAGAGTAGAACTGCCCCCCAGGGTTTCCAGCGCTGTAATCTTTACGGAAGCACCCTGCCACATCTTTCTCCCGTGGAGCTGCTAGTGGATTCAAACTGCTGACCTTTCGGTTAGCAGCTCAGTTCTTAACTACTGCACCACCAGGTCTCCTGAGTAAGTGGAGAACCAGGATACAAATCCGAGTCTGTGCAAACCCGCAGCCAGTTCTCTCTGCCATATGCCCGTTGGTCTCCCGTCCCAGCAGAAACCCAGAGGGGCAGTTACGTCTGTTCTTGATTGTTAAAAAAAAAGGAAAATAAATCACTTAATGGAAGAAAAAAAAAAAAAAAAAAAAAAGAAGTATCTATTAACGGACTGAACACCAAATCTTTCTTGCTCTGTTTGATGGGATTACAGCCTAGAAAACCCTATGAGGAAGTTCTACTATGTCACATAGGGTCTCTATGAGTTGGAATCAACTTAAAAAAAAAAAGATCACAGCCAAGAAAACCCTACGGGGTATTTCTACTCTGTCACATGGGGTTGCTATGAGTTGATGTCAGCTCCAAAGCACCTACAACAATAACAAGTTTCCATATATGTAAAGGAAATGTATGTGAGTGTGTGTGGATATTAGAAAAAAGTCTGGAAGGGCATAGAGAAAATGTGAGGAGTAGTTATGTCTGATTCAGGGTATTTTTTCACTTTCTTTAAATCTTTCTGTAATATCTGAATTTTTAAAAAGCTAGCATGTATTGAGTTTGTGATTTAAATAATAAAGCAGTTTCCACTTTGAAACAAAACAGTGTTTGCAGCCCCAGCCCATCCATCCCTGCACCTCGGCTCAAGGAGTGGTGGCCTCCAGCAAGGATGTCACTGTGGAGCTTCTGTCCTACAGGCCCGAGGAGACTCCATGGCCAGGAGACCAAGGGCTCGTGTACTCAGGGAGCAATGTAGGGACTCTGGCCCAGTGGGGAGCAAGGCGGAGGATGCTGGGGCTGGAGGCGGGAGAGTCGGCTGGTCTGTGTCCCCAGGGAGGGTGGATCCTTTGTTCTTGGAAGAGGAGGCTCTGGGGCAGTCCCATGTTCTGGAAGGGCCCCACAGTACATGGGAGCTTCTGCAGCCAATCAGTTGTATAGCACCTTCGTAACTTCTGCCATATTCACTTCTCACTGGTTCTCTTCTCTACATTCTCTTCTCTTCTTTACATCCCAACATTACCTTAAGCTTAATTGTATTTAAAAAGGACTCTTTATATTGCTATCTTTAATGGAAAATCAGTATCATGTGCAATAAACAGGAGATAGCTCTGGAAGTAAAAACAATGAAAAACCATATTATTAAATTCTTACTAGATATTTCTGCCTGCTTAGGCCTGGAGCATGACGCTGCACTCCACTGCTCTTTCTCTTTCTCTCTCATTTTGTTAAAAGACAACAAAAGAGAGGAGGGTCCTGTCTCTTTCTCTGTCTCTATATATACATATTTATGTATGTGTATATACACACACACACATGCATATATACATAAATAGATATACGTATATATTAAATATGTATGTATCTAGAGATGTGTTAAAGATATATTTTTAAAAATCCAGTTGCTGTGGAGTTGATTTAAACTCATGGCGACCCCATGTGTGTCGGAGTAGAACTGCGCTCTATAGGGTTTTCAATGGCTGATTTTCTGGAAGTAGATTGCCAGGCCTTTCTTCCAAGGTGCCTCTGAGTAGACTCGTACCTCCACCCTTTTGTTTAGCAGCAAAGCATGTTAACCTTTGGTACCACCCAAGGTCTCCAAAGACATACTATCCATAGTCTAAGGTTATCTCCTTGCAGTCAGAAGGATTGAAGAAAATTGAAGGGAGTAGCTCTCTCACAGTGTGTCTTCTAAAATCACTACAAGTAGCTCATGTCCAACAGTGTGGGAACGTGCTGCTCAGTCACCCCAGACACAGAAGCGGCGTGGTGTGGTGTGATGTGCACCGGGAGGGAAGGGGAGGCCCGGGTTCTCACCCGAGCTCTGTGGGGACTGGGGCAAGTCATTTCCACAGCCTCAGACTGGGCTTGTCTTCTGTGGAATGAGGGGATTGGCCTGGGTGTTGGGTCAGGTCACTCCTCACTCCGCCCTCTGCACCAGAGAGGGGTTTGTCACAGCCAGGAGTAGATTATCCAATAAGCAAGGTAAGCACGGCTTCCTTGTGCTTACTTACTAATCTGTAGTGAACAATTTCACATTTTTTCACCACATCAAAGACTCTGCTTCTAGGTATGGCTGGCATTGTCTCTCTCCCAACCCCACAGTACCTTCCTACAGAATCAAAGCCTTTTCAAATTTACAGTCCCTGACGGGTGGATGACTCAATAAGCAAGGTAAGCACCGGCTTACTTGTGCTTACTCACTAATCTGTAGTGAACAGTTTTGCACAGGTTTCATGTTGATGTGGTATGGTGAAACCCGTTTGAAATAGTTCACTACAGTTTAGTAAGTAAGCACAAGTAAGTCTGTGCTTACCTTGCTTATTGGATACTCCATCCCTGGTCACAGCCCCTTCACGCCTGTTCTGGGGTCACCTTTTGGAAGGCAGCCCGTTGACTTTGTCAAGTCTGGTCAGCCTGTCTGCTTTGCACTTAGGTCTAGAGGAGTCAGAGCCGGAAAAATCAGGGACAGGTGGCAGAGGAGGTCTGCTCCCTGTCCTCAGATAGCTCCCACCAGTAAGCCCAGAGCAGAGCCCCAGGGCTGGGATGGAACTGTGAGCCAGGTGAAAACCCAAACCCATTGCCACCTATTCAATTCTGACTCAGCGTAGGACAGAGTAGAACTGCCCCACAGGGCTTCCAAGGCTGTAAATCCTTATGAAGCACACTGCCACATCTTTCTTGTGCGGAGCAGTTGGTGGATTAGAACCGCTGACCTTTCAGTTAGTAGCTGAGCGCTTTAACCACTGTGCCACCAGGGCTTCTCCATGAGCCAGGTGAAGCCCTGGCTTTTCTGCCTGGTGCAAAGCTCCAAGGAGGAGAATCAACTTCAAGCGAGCTGGACACTGAAGAATGAAGGGGAATTTGCCAGCGGGGGAAGAAAGGGTGTTCTAGGCAGAGGGAAAAGAATGTTCAATGTTGTTAATTGCCAGAGTCCGCTCCAACTCATAGTGACCCCATGACAACAGAACAGAACATTCCCCGGTCCTGCACTGTATTCATGAGTACCAGTATGTTTGAGTCCATTTTTGCGGCCACTGTGTATTCTGAGTGCCTTCCAGCCTAGGGGGCTCATCTTCCAGCATAATATCGGACAATATTCTGTTGTGATCCATAGGGTTTTTATTAGCTGATTTTCAGAAGTAGATTACCAGGCTTTTCTTCCTAGTTTTTCTTAGTCTGGAAGCTCTGCTGAAACTTGTCCACCATGGGTGACCCTGCTAGTATTTGAAATACCAGTGGCATAGCTTCCAGCATCACAGCAACACGCAAGCCACCACAGTATGACAAACTGAGAGGCAGAGTGGGAGGCGTGTCCAGAGACATGAAATTATTGAGGGTGGCTGGATGCTAGCAGGAGGGAATGTTCTCCACTCATGCCCTGAAGCCAACTTATAGTGACCCACAGGAGCTGATTAGTAAACTTCCAGGAATTTACACAGTTATTAAACACAGTCATTGTGGTGGGAGCCCTCATGGCAGTATTTACACCACAGAAATCGACGGATGTTACAAATCGGAGGTGGGGGGTAGGTGTTTGTTGTTTTTCCCAGAGAGTCAGTTCACCAGCACACCACTGATGTTCTCCCCTCACGTAGCTGGGTTTTCCCTGGAATAGTTTGGGCAGAAAAAACAATTTCCTTTTTCTAAACCTGCTCAGACTGGCCAGTGTTGGGAAGCCTCCGAGAAACGTCTGACACCGTCAAATCCCAGAGACCCATAACCCTGTACTCTACTCCTCAGGTCTTGGAGATGTCTTCTGAGAACCACCAGTTCTGTAACGATGAGGTAAGAGGCTCCAGGGGCTAGAACCCCCCGACAGCTACAGGAAGTGGAGCTTTCACGTGCAGGAGGAGTTGCTGTGACTCGTGGTACTCAAGCTCCTCAAATCCCCATGGCCTGACTTCCAAGCATCCAGATAACTTAAACCACCACCCCCTGTTCTTTATCCACAGATGCCCACCCTCCTCCACCGCCTATTTCCTCTCCAGGAGCAGAGACAGGATGCACAGAGCCATGTGCACTCTCCCTGTCCTCTAGCAGCCACGGCCCACACCTGGTGGTGGCAGGCACACAGGAAGGGTGCTGGCTGGGTCCCTGTTCTCTGATCTCAAAGCCCTCTTCTAACCCTCCAGTGTACTAACCAGACTTGTGCTAAGAGCTGGCGTGTGCGAAGAGCACTGGACTAGGAGTCACTTAGCCTAGGAGATGACCGCTTATGTATACAGGGGTCTGAAGCCCTGGGGACATTCCTCAGTAGGAGGGACTCCAGGTCTCCCCCCACCACCCATCCCTCTCTCTTCTCTAACCCCCTCGTGTGCAGTGCTACGTAGACGGGCCATATGGAACCTCCCCCCGTAGGATCTTTGCTCATCGGGGTGGGCAGCAGCATCACCCCCTTTGCCTCCATCCTGCAGAGTGTCATGTACAGGTGGGTGGACCATCCTGAGGGAAGCCCTCGCCTCCTTTTCTCCTCCTCCCTTCCTTCGTCCTTTCTCTCCTACACCTGTCTCCCTTCCTTCTCTCTCCCCTTTTCTCTCTTGCCTCTCCTCTCTTCCTCCCTCTTTCATGTCTCATCCCTCTCCTGCCTCATTGGGTGGGCTCTGCCACCCCAACTGCCCTCCCTGTCCCCTACGCTGTTCTCTGGGGTCTCACATTTGCCCCAAATTTGAAAGCCCCCTCCTCCTGCCTCCCCTCAGGCACCAGAAGAGAAAGCACATTTGCCCCAACTGCCAGCACTCCTGGATCAGAGGCGTCCAGGATGATGAGCTGAAACTCCACAAGGTGAGTGCTGCCTCCTCCAGGCAGGCCTCCAGATGTTCTCCCCTGAATACCTCCAAGAACAGAAGCCAGGCCCTCCTGTGGGGAGGCAGGGGAGAGAAGGAGGATCTCTTACCCACTGAGATCCTCTTACTGCCTACACTCCCCCCTCCCTCTTTCCCCACCATGCCCAGTGTTCTCCTGGCCTCCCTGTCAACACTCCCATCACCTCTGCGAGCCGTTCTTCATCTCATTAAAAGCAGTATAGCTTGAAAGTCAGGGAGCCTGGATTCCATTCTAGCCATGATGCTTACTATCCATGACCCCTTGGTTGTTTGGGAAGATGAAAACCATGCTTGCCTCTTAAAAATTCATTAACCTGCAAAAACAAAGCAAACAAATGATTGCCACCAAGAGTTGATCATGTAGAGGTCATGTGAAAGGGCTTCTTAAAAGAAAATTACTGTTTTTCTGGCAATCCTAAGCCAATATCTCAGAACACTGCTTGCTGTAAAAAGAGATTATTAGAGAAAATCCTGACCTGGGGGTCAGGAACCAGGGTCTGGTCCCATGCTGTGTGACCTGGGCAAGGCTCGTCACTTGTGTGAGCCTCAGATTTCTCCTCTGTTCAATGGGGGTGATGACATGTGCCCTGCTAACACCAGGGTGGTCAGGCTGGGGCCTGGGGACCACAGCTGTGAGCATGCCGTGAGTGAGGTGGACTCTGCCTCTGACTCCAAGGGCCTCTCTCCTAGGTGGACTTCATCTGGAATAACTGAGAGCAGCAGGCATTCGAGTGGTTTGTGAGCCTGCTGACCAGCCTGGAAATGGACCAGACCGAGGAGAATGAAGGTGGTAGGAGAGGGACGGGGCCTGAGGAGGGGGAGGCGGCAGGTGGAAATCAGGTTCTTCTTGAGGTGTTTCGATGATTCCTTTCTATCAAAAATGCTGTGTGTATGTGTATGTGTGTTCCCTCTAAAATGGAACATTTTGTGAAGTTTAAAAAATAGAGAGAAGAAAAATCATTTATCATCCCATCAGCTATCCAGATTGCTCCAGGTATTTTAAAGGATTGATTGCCTTCTATTTTTTTTTCATATTCACATTTTAACATAAAAATGTGTATCATTCATTTTTCTAATTTTTTTCATGCCTTTTTTTTAAATTCAAGGCGGTGAATTTGTTAAAACTTTAGCTTTCCAGGCTTCGCTCACAGCTTGCAAATCAGATTCTCTGGGAGCAGGGCCCAGGGACATATATTGTAACACGTTTCTCAGGTGACTCTGACTCACACTGTTTTTGTGGTGTTGTGTGTGTGTGTTTTATTGAAGCATAATTTACATACACTAAAATTCACTAATTTTAAGTGTATGTACAATGGTATTTTGACAAATATACACAGTCTCGTGACCACCACCACAGTTAAAATATAGAACCTTTCCATTACCTCAAAACATTCTCTATTCCGCTTTGCAGTCAACACCCCACCTGCGCTTCCCTCTGAAAACCATTGTTTCATATAATTTGTCCATTTTTCTAATTGTTTAAGGGGAGAGGGTAAATCTGGCTGTCCTTACTCCAACATAAATTTTAGAGCCCATAATGTATTAGTAGAGAAGAACATGTGAATAAACGTACGTATTTATTAAGTGTAAATGCTCAAACTTTTTTTCTGCTGGAGGGGCAGTCAAAAAGTTTGGAAACTGGTCTAAGAAAGATTAAATACCTTAGCTGTACTAAGTCTTTTACTGTTTGGTCCCTACTTTCATGCGTTCATCAAAAATGAATGTTTGAAAGAACGCCTGCCTTGAGTACTGTGCTCTTTTAAGAGCTATCTATATAGATCAACCTGACGACAACAGCTTGAAAGGTTAGATAGGAAACTTAGGGGGCAGTGAGTTTACGTTAATGGGGGAGCAACAGTTCAGAAAAGGAGGGTGCGAATGGTTGCACAACTCGAAGAACGTAATCAATGTCTCTAAATGGTACATGTAGAAACTGTTGAATTGGTGTATGTTCTGCTGTGTAGCTCCTCAACAACAACAGCAAAAAAATAAATTAAAAAGATGAATGTTTCAGTGCCCTCCTTCCAGCTCCTGCTGGTGTTGTATCTTACCCTCCAAGGGTTGTATCCTACCTTTTTTCCTAAACATTGTATGATAGACTGTTTCTCTGGCTTACGTCATAGTCTACATGGGACATCTTTGAGAAACACTGAGACTTGGCACTGTTTTAAAGTTCATCCCTTAAAGTCATGTTCTCTTTTGTTCTACTTATGAAATAACTTACACAAGGAGGCATGTCTCTAGATATGTCTCTAACTTCAAGAGAATCAGTGTGGTCTTTTATACTCGTTGAGTTCATTGGAACTAAATTGTCGTGAGTAAATTCAAATTCCTATGATAAACACAGTTTGCAAGTTCAAGTGATCAAACACACTTTTATATAAGAAACATTTAAACAGATGTCGTTTTCTATTACAAACATTCAAAGCTTTAAAGTATAAGTCAACAGTCTTCGGAAGATAACTATTAAACCTTAGACTCTTGCAGGAAAGCTCCTTGCCCATTTCTCGTAAAGAACATTTATAGCAAATATTTATATAGCGTTGAGTTTGTTCTAAATGTTTTTACATATGTTAATTCATCAGAAACTCAATTTCAGGATGACAAGCTAGAGGAAAAGTTTAGATTTAATTTAAATAGTCTAGTTATTGACGTGTAAATATTTGCTGTTTGCTTCTTCCTAATCTATGTAAACAAAGGGCAACGGGGGACCCACTGCTTTACCTTCTCAAAGCCACTTGAGTCAACAACTTTCTGGCATCGGGTTTCCATCAAGTTTTCTCATTAACTGCAGCTGAAGCTTAGGGCCTCTGATTTCAACTTTATTTATACAGCAAAGTTTGAATTAAAGAATGTGTGGTTTATAATTTTTAAATGTTGAGAGCTTAAGCTTGAATCATTCTGTTTGAGTTTGAATCTTTACTCAATCCCTTAGTAGTTATAGAACCGTGGGCACGTTACTTAACCACTTGGCCTTAAGTTCTTCATCTGAAAAATATGGATGCTAATAGTACCCCCCTCATGGTAGTGTTGTGAGGATTACATGAAATATCACCTGTAGAGCATTGAGAACAGTGCCTGGAGCATAACAACTGCTCGATGCATTTGCCATGGTCATAGTGGTACAGTAGTAATGATAGGAGCAGCATTTAATGACTCATCTGAGGATATAGTTAGTGGTTATGCCATAAATTAGTTAACCAACTTTCTATTATTGGACATTTTGTGTATTCCTAATTCTCCCCTTTATAAATAACACTGTAATTAATATGTTTGTCACATAGTTGTTTCCTTCTTTTGGATAATTTCCTTAGTATATCATACTAAACTGACGAAAACAAAAACCAAACCAGTTGCCATCATGTCGACTCAGACTCACGGTGACCCCATGTGTGTCAGAGTAGAACTGTGCTCCATAGGGTTTTCAGTGGCTAAGTTTTTGGAAGTAGATCTCCAGGCCTTTCTTCCGAGGCATCTCTGGGTGGACTCGAACTGCCAACCTTTCAGTTAGCAGCCACATGCATTAACTGTTTGCACCACCCAGGGACTCCTATTCCATAACTACACAGCTATAAATACTATAAAATTGTGCTGCTGCAAAATGAAGTACAGCTGATATTTATGAGTGCTCTCAAATGAAAAGGCTTTCTGTTTTGAATACAATACTCAACTCTGATATCCTAATGTTTTGGTAAACTGTGGCTAAAAGCTGCTATCGAGGTTCAGTGCCTCCCCCTCCTGCCACCCCCCAGGCCGCTTCCTGGAGCTGCACACGTACATGACCTCAGCGCTGGGCAAGAATGACATGAAGGCCATTGGCCTGCAGATGGCCCTTGACCTCCTGGCCAAGAAGGAGAAGAAGGACTCCGTCACGGGGCTGCAGACGTGGACCCAGGCTGGACGGCCTGACTGGAGCAAGGTAAGGGCCAGCGGAGCCCCCACACCTGCAGGGACCAGTGACTGCTGAGACCTTAGGCAGTGACTGGGCAGATTAGGGCTGTCAGCCAGGAGCAAAGATGAGGCTGGCATCCTGAGTCCAGCTAGGGACCTCAGGGCTGGAACGGGAGGCAGCAACCTACGTTCTGGCTCCATCACTAGTTTATTCCATCATAAGCCTCAGATTCGCCAGCTTTTCAGAGAGGAAGTTTAGACTATCTGACCTCCAAGGCCTCTCCCTGACTCCCTACAAACCAGAGTGAGAAGGTCAGAGTGAACAGGGTCCTGGAAGCATCAAGTCTTATCCCTTCATGTTACTAATGAGGAAACTGAGGCCCAGAGACGTGAAATGGTTTGCAGTCTTTCTACTTTATTTCTCAGAATAATTTATTAGTACTTTTTCTTTCCTGAGCACTCAGCAGATGGGGTGTAGAGTTTGCATGAAGTGGCCCAGAACATACTGCTTTTAAAATGGCTGTGGATAAGCCATGCCTAGGCAGTGAGAGCTGAGGGGGAAAAGGGTTATCAGTGGTGCTTGGGCATCAAAGAGGATTTTGAGAAAAACACAGTTCTTAAGCAGAGTTTGGGGTGAAAAAAAAGGATCCTCACTAGGGAGGGAAAAAAGGACTGATTTTGGGAAAGAGACATTTAAATTGTGGCACCTGGCCAGCCCTGAGGACTAGTAGGAGGTGCGGGCAGTCTGGGTTGAATATGACAGGCCTGGCTTCTGGAACACCCTGTGAACATCTCTATCCTTGCATGCCAACTCCCCACCTGTGTTAGTGGGTGTCTCCCCACAGGCATAGCCCCTTAGGTGGGGGGCCTGGGTCTCACTTATCTCTGGCTCCAGCCCTCACCAAGGGTTCTAGGTCAAGTTATGTGTTGAGGTAATGTCTTCTATATGAATGGTTGAGTGTTGAAATCTCTGCTCTAAAGCCAATCAGCTGTGCCATGGAGTACGCCAACCTCCTCTGTAAGATGGGGAAGGCCATCCCTGCTGACTCTCCTGTCTCATGGGTCTTTGTTATGTTGTTGACTTCAGCTGGGCGGGTCAGCAACGAGGTCAGCAGTCTCACCTCTCCTCCCTTTCTGCTCTCCCTCCAACCCATGGACTCTAGGTGTTCCAGAAAGTGGCCTCTGAGAAGAAGGGCAAGGTACAGGTCTTCTTCTGTGGTTCCCCAGCTCTGGCCAAGGTACTCAAATGCCATTGTGAGCAGTTCAACTTCAAATTCTTTCAGGAGAACTTTTAGTTCCACCTGTAGGAGCTCTGCCCAGACCCACACCGTGGGTCAGCTTGGGAAACCATGGGATCATCAACTGGTGCCTCCTATTGTAATGGTGGAGTCCCTGGGTAGTACAGATGGTTAACACACTTGGCTGCTAACCGAAAGGTTAAAGGTTCAAGTACACCCAGAGGCGCCTTGGTAGGAAGAACTACACCTGAAAAACCAACCACTGAGAACCCTATGGGGTGCAGTTCTACACTGACACCCATGAGGTCACCATGAGTCCGAATCAACTTGACAGCCACTGGTTATTGTAATGGTAAAAGTGCCCAGACAGGGACTAGGCTCGGGTGATCCACCTGCCAGGACAAAGCCCAGGGACCACCTACTCCTGCTCAACACGTTAGAATGGGGGAACTTGAGGGGCAGATTAATTTCCTTCAGAACCCAAGGAAAACGGAAATACCTGGCTTGGCCACTGTGCATTCTGGGACTTCAGCACTGGCCATGTATGACTGTGAAGCTGACGATACCAAAGGCTGGTGACTGGAGGGTGTGTGATGGGGTTGGGAGAGAACAACTTCTCCTCCAGAAGTCCTCTGGGGGGAAGGTCCCCTACAGCATATGTCCCCAGTCCTGCCTAGTCATCATAACCACTAGGGAGATTTCCCCTGACATTTCATTATGAATTTTTCAAACATGCAAAAAGTTAAAAGAATTGTATAGTGAACAGTGTTACCCACCTCCTAGTTCCTCGTTTAACATTTTGCTCTACGTATTTGCTTTATTGCATGTTATCCATCTATCCCTCTCTCTAGCCATTTGTGAGGTCATCTTATTTTTCTGATGCATTTCAAAGTAAGATATCAGCATACTTCGCCATGCAGGTGAGCTTTTTTTAAATGCAGCGTACTGGATCCCACTCCCAGAAATTTAGATTCCAAAGATCTGGGGATGAGACCTGGACTATGTATTTTCTCCAAAATCCATTCCCATAGACAGGGACAAACAACGTATTTTCATATTCAGTCTACTTGGACCAACAATCAGCACTGATGCAAGCAGCAGTCAAGAACTCAAATGATGCATTGCATTGGGCAAGTCTGTGGCAAAAGACCTCTTTAAAATATTAAAAAGGAAAGACATCACTTTGATGACTAAGCTGCGCCTGACCCAAACCATGGTCTTTTCAGTCGCCTCATATGCATGCGAAAGCTGGACAATGAAAAAGGAAGACTAAAGAAGAACTGATGAATTTGAATTGTGGTGTTGGTGAAAAATATTAACTATAGCATGGACTACCAGAAGAAGGAACACATCTGTGTTGGAGAAAGTACAGCCAGAATGCTCCTTAGAGGCAAGGATGGTGAGACTTCATCTCTCACTTACTTTGGACACATCATCAGGAGGGACCAATCACTGGAGAAGGACACCATGCTTGGCAAAGTAGAAGGTCATCAAAAAAGAAGGAGACCCTCTATGAGACGGATTGACTCAACGGCTCCTAACAACAATAGCTCTGTGGCTTTGTCTTCCCACCTCTATCCGTGTCTCTCTTTGTCTCTGTATCTCTTCGTCTCTCTCTTTCCTAGATGTGTCCCTCAATGTCCCTCCATTGCTCTGCACAGCATTCTCTTGGTGTGTGTCTCTGTGGGGTCAAGGAAAGGCTGCGTGCTTAGGAATCAAACAGGCTGAGACTCAAGCGCAGCTCCCCATGCACCAGCTGTATGGCCCTGACAGCCTCTCCAAGTCTGTTTTGTCATCTTTAAGGTGGAACTGTTGCCATCCACTGGTCACAATTGTTGTGAGGTCAAAATGAGACACCATGATAAGTGTTCAGGACATTCATCTTCTTTCCATATGTGGCTCTTTATTGCTCCAGGCATTGGTGTCTCTGCATCTTCTCTTTATGTGGTGACTGTATCTGGACCTATCTCTCTATCTCTGTGTTCCAGCCTCGCTTTGCATCTGTCACTGTCTGGGTGGGAGTGGATGGCAGGGACAGCAAACGCAAAAGGTCTCTCAGGGGCAGTTTGGGGAGGGAAGAGCCCTGGGCTGAGGGAGCCAGGTGGGAGGGCTGATCTCACCCCCGGGGATCTGAGCTAGTGGATCTGAGCTAAGCGTTTTCCCTGTCCCCACACACAAGCCCCTGTGAACCCCACATTTTCTAGGCATCTTCCACCTTGTAGTCAGCATTGGTATGTTCTCCCTCTTCCGGGGCAATGAAAAACACTCCTCCCCCAGACTGCAGCCAGGTTGCTGGAGAGAAGCAGCCTAGGTGGAGCCAGAGCCAACCACTTTCCAATGGAAGTGTAGTTTGTAACTTTCTTTTCCATGGGTTGGAAGTCCACGGGGGAGAATAAGCGAAGAAGCTGTGTGGTAACCATGACGATGACACCCTCAATAGGGGTGAGAGTCTAAGGTGAGGGTGGGGGTCCAGCACATGAGGGAGATGATGTGCAGAGGTGAAGGAGTGGACCTATGGAGGAATCCTGGGGATGAGAGTGTAACAAAGTTGGTGGGAAAAGTTCTCTTCAAAGAGAAGCAATGAGAAGAGAGGGTGGTGGATGAAGAAGCTGAAAAGGGCTCTAGGGAACAGGGCAAAACACACAGTGAGAGAGCAGACAGAAGCCTGCAAAGGGACATTGTATTCCAATGCTTGGAGGAACAGGAGGAAGAATAGCTGGGGAAGAGAGGGGCTACTTGCCAGCCTTGTGGTGAAGGAAGTAGTGGGCAGAAAGGAGGGGAACTAGCTCTATTGAGCCTCTGTGGGTCTGGGGAAGGAGCCCTGGTGGCGCAATGGTTAAGCTCTCATCTGCTAACCAAAAAGTTGATGGTTCAAACTCACCAGTGGCTGAGAAAAGACCTGGTAATATGCTGCTGTAAAGTTTACAACCTAGAAAACCCTCTGGGGCGGTTCTACTATGCCCTATAAGGTCGCTAGAAGTCCGATCACCTTGATGGCACACAACAACATGTGTCTGGAAAAGGAGCCCTGGTGGCGCAATGGTTAAGCGCTCGGCTGCTGTCCGAGAGGTTGATGGTTCGAACGCACCCAGCAGCTCTGTGGGAGAGAAGACCTGGGGATCTGCTCCCATAAAGATTACAGCCTAGAAAACTCTATGGGGCAGTTGTACTCTGTAACACATGGGGTAACCATGAGTCAGAACTGACTCAGTGGGAACAGGTTTTATGGGTCTGGGGATTAGCATATCTGGGAGACCTTTTGTTGGGGACCCTTCTGCACACCATCATGTTTACTTTTTAACATGCCTAGGGTAGGCACTCACCTCACAAGGGGAACTCAGAGAAGTTAAGTGACTAGCCTGAGGCCACACAGTCTTGGAACCCATTTCCTTCATCAGGCTTGGGAATCTTGAAAATAACCCGCCACTCTCTGAAGCATAGAGGTAAACTAAAGCGGGTGTCCGGACTTAGAGCTAGAGCATGGAAAGAGGGCGGACCCAGATGATTCGGAAACTGAGCAGAGCAGAGTCTGTTTAGCACTAGATTTCTCTCTCCCTCTCTCTCCATCTCTCCTTCTCTCTCTCGCCCTCTCTCCCTCTCCATCTCTTTCTTTCTCTTCCTCTCTCCTACTCTTCCCCTCCTCTCTCTCTCTCTCTCACACATCATCATTTTACATCTCGTCCAGCCCCTGTCCTGCGACCTCCCTAACAAGCTTGAACTCCAGACCTCAATCCTCTCACCCTCTCATGATGGATTTCCACCAGTCTCTCCCTCACATATACCAACAGCCACCTGTTCCTGTAGAATGCTGTATTATACAGTGGGTAGGAGCAGGTGGAAGAATTAGAATGTAAGATTCTAAAATGCACGTTTGACTTCTGGCCGCGTACCTGTGTCAAAGGTTTTCTCTCTGGACATACTCCAGATGTTCACGAGGGGGCGCTGCAGCCTCAGCGAGGAGGGCTTTTTTGTTGCTTTTTTTTCTGGGAAGTGACAGCGAATCAAAGGAAAGGGGCAGAGAAGACCGCACCCAATTCCAAAGCTGCCCACTCAGGCCAGCACCCCCAGGCTCAGTCTCAGGCAGAACTGTGGAATCATAGAGCTCATTTTCAAGATTAGAGTTTCTCTGGCTGCCAGCTCTACACCCCAACACACAAATCTGCACATTTGAACACGCATGTGCACGTACACATGCACGCACAAACATACACATGCTCCTGCCTCCCTGGGACCCAGGGTCTAGGTTCTGGGCTTCCCTCTTTCTCTTTCCAGCAGAATGTCCATTTCAAGGTCCAGCTGAACTGAACAGGCCTGGCTGGGGAGAGTTCCACAGGTCCTGGCTTTGCCCAGGTGGACATCTTATCTTAGGTGGCAGGATAAAAAGTGTGGGTGTACAGAACACTGGCTTGGTCCGTCTGGAGGTCTCCCAGATGTCCAGATGGGCGTCATCCTGCCGTCAGCAAGAAACAAATGCGTCCATGTGGCTGGATGACTTCTCTACTTCTCACCCAGATGTTGGTGATGCCATAGACACATCTGGGCCCGAGACAGATAAGGCCGACACACACGAAGGGAACAGAGAGGAACACAGGCTAACCACAGATGCAGGACGGATTGCCAGTGTGTGCCTGTCCTCCCCTGCTTGTAAGCTCCCCAAGGTCCGAGGGCCCGGAATCCAGCACAGAGAGATGGGAGTAGACCTGAGCTGGATATTGCTTTTCTCCAGAAAGGAGATTATTTAAATGGAACAATCCTTGGGAATCGACTCTACAGCAACTGGTTTTGTTTTTTGCTTTTTATCCTTGGAAAGTGAGTCCCTGGGTGGTGCAAACGGTTAACATGCTTGGCTGCCAACCAAAAGGTTGGTGGTTTGAGTCCACTCAGAGGCACCTTGGAAGAAAGGCCTGGTGATCTACTTCTGAAAAGTCAGCCATTGAAAACCCTGTGGAGCACAGTTCTACTCTGACACGTGTGGGGTCGCCATGAGTCGGAGTCAATTCCACTGGCAACTGGTTTACTGGATCCTTGAGACAGGTGTCCTGCATATAAAAAGGATT